TCTAATTTCCCTGTAGCTTTGTTTAAATTACTAATAGTAACATTTACTGTGTTGTTTAAAATTGTTAAGTTCTTAAATGTATCTAGATAAGTTTAAGTTTGTAACTATCTTGTTTAATTAATGTAATTAGCATCTTTAAGAATTTCTATTGTTATTAATTAACAGATTGTAATAGTAACCTACCTATTCATTTTTCTAAGTACACACTCAGGAATGTGCACGCTACTTACCAGTATTATACCTTTGAATTCATTAACTTTCAGTATTCACAACAAAAAAGGGGGAGTAGAGGGTGAGAATATGCATGTGATTAAGTAAGTGCTGAATCAAACAGATTTCATTTAAAAATTGTTAAGTCTATATACTCCTTGTACCAGTTCCTCTTTGGAGCAAGTGCAGTTGTTGAGCATAAATACCAAAAATGACAAACTAACAACCTTGTGACCAAACACTACATAAAAGTCTAAATCGTATAGCTGGAATATGAAAACAAAATAAAGATTACAGGTATGCATGAATGAAGAGCGAATGGGGGTGGCCACCCAAATGAGTGAGAGAGAGATTGTATGGATGTATGAATGTATGAGAACCATATGCAACTTATGCCATATATCTGAAACAAGCACACTCACACAACAAACACTACCTCTAATACATCACCTTAAAAAAGAACTCAGGACATAATATTCCTCCCCTAAACCTTTTTTGTATTTTAATAAAGTAAGTTCTCCCCAATTATATGTAGACCCTCAGATAATAAAAGTTTTTATTCTACCCAATTGCATAAGGTTTTTGATTAATAAAGTTTTGTTATTGCATAAAACTCTTAGGTAAATAAGGTTTAAGTAAGAACTAAGTTTACTATGTCAAGTGAAAAATGTTTTGTTAAAAAATTGTTAAGAATTGCACTGTTTTTTTGAATTTGCACTGTTTTGTATCTTGTTATTAATAAAAATGGGGGAATTGTGGGGTCTAGTCACACCAGGTGCTGCAAAGCATCCTGGGAGTTGTAGTTTGTAAGTACTCTGTCACACATGCTCAGTGAAATGCTTGTATGGGATTGGCTGATAAGGTCACCTGTTGTGACGTGTCAGCATTTGAAACTGTTATATAAGTTGTGGCTCCTTGAATAAACGTTGCTTTTCGTTACACACCACATTGGTGTCGCCATGGTCCCTATGGGACTCATTACTTTTTATATTAATAACTGGTACAACAATGTCCTTGGCTGTGGATATGCTGTGACTCAGGCACAGGGGGAAAATCCCAGGCCTGATCCATGAAGAGGTCAGCAAATGTTGGGGCAGAGAAGAGGCAGCAGAGTGAGGAAACAAGTGTGGACACCCTGGGGTGATGTGCTTTGGACTCGTGCATGACGCGGCCTTGAGTGGGTAGAGCAGGGACAGCCTTTGTGTCCCTGCAGTGCTGGCATTCAGTCACGTTCCCAAAGGCACCGACTGTGTCTGAGAAGCCCTGGGTGGTGCCTGTTACACAAGTGCTCTGAATGGGGATGGGGTTCCTGCACAGGTCCTGTGCTGTCCATGGCAGCTGCTGCACTTGTGCTGGACAACCCTGGCACCTCCCCTGGCACTACAGGCCCCTGTTTGGCTGTTCAGTCCAGAGTCAGCTGCCCTGAATTAGCTTCAGCATTGAAGGGATGTCCTTGAGACAACTGCCATTGTACTCTGAGCACATGTAGAAAATACCTCTGATAAAGAACAGGAGATAGACCTCTCTCCCTGTGCCACCTGACCAAATGGGTCACCTGAGCACCTCTATGGGCTGCCTTGGGCAGAAGGAACAGTGACAGGTTCCCCTGTCCTACATGCGGGCACCATCTACCACTTGAGTTGGCCAAAGCAATGTCCCAGCAGCCTCCAAGAAGATCCCAAAGCTGCTGCCCTGTCCCTATGAACTGCTCCATTGGACCCTGCAGTTCCCAACAGGAATCTCAGTCACCTCTGGCCCCTCAGAAGGAACCAGGGGTTTGTGTCCCAGCAGGTTACTCATGGCTTTGGTCTTCATTCATTCCCATGGGAACTGGGACAAGGAGTAACCTGCAGGTGCCTGTTTTGTGCCCACTGAACTGGGGCAGGAAGAATCCCACCCCATGGGGGTTGTGGAGGGAGCTGAGTGTCCTTCTGGCCCCAGGTCTGCAGAGCCACAATGAGACACCTCTGTTGACTCAGCTGAGTCCCTTCACTCAGTGGAGGGGAAGGAGATCCCTCCAGGGAACTGTCTGGGTTTCCTGTCTAATGATGGGACATGAAAAGGGGAATCTTGGACTTCACTTTGTGTCTGTTTGGAGAAATAACACTGCTGAAAGAAGTGTCTGTGGCCAGTTGAGAGAAGGAACATCATTATTTCCTTCATCTGTGTCCCAGCAGGTTCCCCTGGAGCCCCAGGGACACATGGAGGGAGCCCAGAGGGGCAGAGAAAGGGTTCCCTGGGGCTGTTGCTGAACTGCTGAGATGGGCTGGGCTGGGCTCCTGGCAACCAAGAAGAGCTTCAAAGAGACAACGCTGCCCAGGAGTAGCTCCTCTGCACAGCCCATCAGGGCTGAGGGCATTGCGTGCAGGCACTGAGGGCACAGGAGGGAAGGGAGACGGAGGGGCAGCCTGGTCTGGGAGGGGACTGAGCTCTCACTATGGGAGAAACCTTCACAGGATTTGAATGAAGAATTCTCTGGCTGTAGGAAACAAACTTCCCTTCCTGAAGGGATCTCCTAAAGCTTGTAGGATCTTTCAGAAGGACTCTCATAGTTCCTGCAGTGCAGAGGAAGTGGCCCTATGGCAGAGCAGGACAGGAGCTTCAGGCAGCAAGGGCAGACAGGAGAAGGAGGTGAAAGGTATCCTGGGGTGGGAGGACAGGGCAGAGCTCCTCAGGAGAGGAACCTTGACAACCCTTTGCCACGGTAAGGCTCTGGCTGCAGAGCAGTGCAGGTGAGTTCCTGCAAGTGCCTCTTCCACCTGCCGCATGCTAGCCCTGACAGGACCTGTCAGGATGGCTCTGCTGGATTTGCTGGGGTGCAGCAGGAGAAGCTGCTCCAGAGCAGGACTTGCTGCTGCCCCATCAGAGGCACAGGGCAAGAAGGTTCCCTGTGCCAGGGCTGGCTGTGGGGTGGGAAGGTGGGGGTGCAACCAGGGGTGCCCAGGGCTGTGGGGCAGAGCAGGGTCCTGCCCCCCAGGGCAGTGTGTGCTGGGACAGGGACTCTGCTACCTGCCAGGGGCAGCTCTCAGCCCGGCCAAGGAGCTGCCACGGCCCTGCAGGGAAAATGTGTTGGTGGAAGGAGTGACCCCTCATGGCAGGGCAGGGCAGGGCTGGGCAGGGCCCTTCAGCTGCAGGGTCAGGGCTCCTCCCAGCTTCAGCTCGACCTCCTGCCATTTCCAGGGGCCCTTTTCAGGAAGCACATCCACTCAGAACACCTCCCCCTTCCCAGCCAACTCAGGGTGTCTGGGATCTGCTCTGCAGCCCCTGCCCAGGCAGAGATGCCCCTGGGCACTGGACTGGGGATGGGCACTGGGAGCACTGGCAGGGAGCTGAGCTGGGCACAGGGAGGGGCTGCTGGCAAGAACAGCTCCTCACACAGAGAAAGGCAGGGAGGGAGAGGGAGCTGCTGCCAGAAATGCTGGACAGGGGGATGTGGGCCCCTCCCTACTGTCCCTGTGGCACAGACACCTTCCCTGAGCAGCTACTGTCTGGTCTGTGCATTGCCCTGCAGCTGTCAGAGCCCAGGCAAGGACAAGGTCCTGATTTCCATCTGTCTCTAGGTGTCCCTCCTCCCTTGGCAGCAGCACTCGGGCATTTCCCTGCCATCCCCTGCTGCCTAGGCTGTCCTTCTTCTCACCCTTGGGTTTTCTGAGCCGGTGTGTGGTTTGGGGGGGAGGGGGAGACAGATTCCTGTCCAGACACAAACCATTTGGGTGCTTCTGTGGGGATGTGTCTGTGGGAGTAAAGTGCCCAAGTACCCTCCAGGCAACTTCAGGGTATTCAGTTGTTTCCCGGGGTGTCCTGCAGGGCTGCAGGTGCCCTCCAGAAGGGAACAGCTCTGCCATAGTATCTTCGTCATGCACAGGATCCCCATGGAGAAAATTCCTCAGTGCTAATTCCATAGAAATGCTCTGGGCAACTGCAATGAGCATTTTGTGTCTCACTCTGGGAGGGGAGTGATGAAAAGGTGAGGAGTGTGCCAGTCTGTTCTTTGGACATGGATTCCTGGAGATCTGTGCATTTTCTTTGTAGGGGAACAGTTGAGTCTGATGCTCACCCAGCTCCAAGCTGCCAGCACAGGGCAGCTGAGCACAGGACTGATGGGCAGAGCAACTCTTCTCTCTGCACTGAGGGACCGCCCTTGTGCCCCGCAGAATCCACAAGACTTGACCTGAAGTGCAATAGAAATGTCAGGGATTTCAAGCATCCACAAACACTCCTAACTGTGGCAGGTGCAACCAGGAGAACAAACAAAGAATTCCCTCAGCTTGGTCCTTCATTTGGGCAAATTGCAAACAGCAAAGCTGAGAAGCTCTTTGAGGTGAGTAAATTTAATCAAAGATCACCCTGCATTCCAAGTTCCCTCTCCAAGCAGAGCAAGAAGGAGTCCTTGGGAGCCCATCACAGCGTTACTGCTTCCAATGGTCCCCCCTCAACCAGCAAAAGCCAGAGCTCAGGGGAGGGAGGTGCAGGGAGGTCTGATTGAGGAGAGAGAGCCTGAGAGTGGGGTGGCTGTGAGACATGTCATGTTTGGCTGCAGCAGCCTGGTCTAAGCATTGACTTTTCCTCCTCAACAGATCAAAACACTCTGAGGAAGGAGCAAATGTGCAACAGCAGCTCCATGGCCCAGTTCCTCCTGCTGGCATTGGCAGACAGGCGGGAGCCACAGCTCCTGCACTTCTGGCTCTTCCTGGGCATCTCCCTGGCTGCCCTCCTGGGCAATGGCCTCATCCTCAGCAACGTAGCCTGCGACCAGCACCTGCACACCCCCAGGGACTTCTTCCTGCTCCACCTCTCCCTCACAGACCTGGGCTACATCTGCGCCACTGTCCCCAAAGCCATGCACAACTCCCTCTGGGACACCAGGGACATCTCCTACACGGGATGTGCTGCACAGGTCTTTTTCTTTCTGTTCTTCATCTCAGCTACTGTCTACTCTTTTATATGGGTCTGAATCATGGGTCATTTACTGCCACCACTTGTGTCTTTTAGAACGCTTCCATCAGCGCTGCCTCCGTCCAATCCTAAACATCCACTGGACAGATTATGTGACCAACACATCTGTCCTTGAACAGGCAGCAGTCATGAGCACTGAGGCCATGCTGCTGAGAACACAGCTGCGTTGGGCAGGGCACGTCTCCAGGATGAAGGACTACCACCTCCCTAAGATTGTGCTCTATAGTGAACTTGCCACTGGCTGCTGCAAGAGACGTGCCCCGAAGAGGAGATACAAGGACTCCCTGAAACAATCTCAGCCTTGGCCATATTGATCACCACCACTGGTCTACTCTGACCTCCAATTGGGAGGCCTGGAGACACACTATCTGTAACGCTGCTGCTTCTTCTGAGAACACACGCAGGATCACTCTCAAGGAGAAAAGACAACGCAGAAAGAATTGCATCTTGTCGATATCATCTAGGGAGTCTTTCTACTGTGCCTTCTGCAACTGGACTTGTCTATCTCGCATTGGCCTTTTTAGCCATCAGTGCACTTGTAGCAAGCGTGGGTAGAGCCCTTCTCAAATCTTCATTCGTGAAGCCCAACCATGATGATGATGATCATCTCAACAGCGTTTTTCCTCCTCACCATCATGTGCTACGACCACTACGTGTCCATCTGCAAACCCCTGCACTACAGCACCCTCCTGGGCAGTAGGGCTTGTGCCCACATGGCAACAACTGCCTGGGCCACTGGGTTTCTCAATGCTCTGATGCACACAGCCAATACATTTTCCCTGCCCCTGTGCCAGGGCCATGCCCTGGGCCAGTTCATCTGTGAAATCCCCTACATCCTCCAGCTCTCCTGCTCACACTCAGGCTACCTCAGGGAACTTGGGCTTCTTGGGGTTAGTGCCTGTTTAGTGTTTGGTTGTTTTGTTTTCTTTGTTTTCTCCTACGTGCAGATCTTCACGACTGTGCTGAGGATCCCCTCTGAGCAGGGACGGCACAAACCCTTTTCCACGTGCCTCCCTCACCTGACCGTGGTTTCCCTGTTTATCAGCACTGGCACATTTGCCTACCTGAAGCCCTCGTCCATGTCCTCCCCTTCCATTTGTCTGATTGTGTCAGTTCTGTACTCAGTGGTGCCTCCAGCACTGAACCCCCTCATCTACAGCCTGAGGAACCAGGAGCTCAAGGATGCCCTGAGGAAAATGATGACTGGATGCTTTTCAGAAGCAATAAGCTGCCTCTTTTCTTCAGCAGAACACTCACTGTGTAACCCTTTACTGGCCCAACCTGCCTTCTAAAGCTTTTGATACTTGTAGGGGTGGGGGAATTTTCCTATATTTTTTCCTCGTTTAATGTTGTTAACACAGAAATTTGTTCTTTATCGCATACCTAATTCACTCTCCACCTCTTTATTTTGACCCACAATTGTGTAAATGAGGAATCATTCTCTGTGTGCATTTAAACAAAATAAAAGTTCCTGCCGCAACTTCTTTGTCAAACATCCTGCCTTTGTTATTCTGTACATGAGGAATCACAATCTCTGAGTATAATAAAGGACTTGAATTCTTTTTTCCAGATCCTTCCTCCAAGACCTCCTTCGAAGCTGGAGGGCATTTCCATGTTTGCAGATGTGGAGGAGAAAAGAGTCCCACCTCTGCCAGGGAGCACCAGAACTGGGTCTTTTCAGAGCTGCTCTCTTTGCACTCCCACCCTCTCCTTTTCATTCCATGTCCAAGGTCTGAGTCCTCTGGCAGTTCAGTCACTGTCCTGCTGTGTGTCAACCCTGTGATCACGGGCAGGGACAGGCCCTGGGCACTGCTGGGACAGGGCTGGGCTCCACAACAGCACTTCCATCAGCAAAGCAGTTCCCCTTCAGGCACTACCTGAAGCTCTTTTGCCAACACTGGTATGGAGGAGAAGAAGTTCAAGGAATAGCCTATGCAAAGTCTTGTTACTTTGCTTGTTTCTCCATGGAGACAGTGCAGGGAGGTCAGGGACGCGCTGGGACTTCAGGGACTGAGGGCTGGGTCAGATTTTGTGTGTTGGTGGCCGAGGACCAATAGAGATGACAAATGGTCTCCAAGTCACCTACCTGGGGCTCTGCAGCTTGTGCTGGCTCTGATGGCAGGTGAGGACTTGTCTGTAGGAAATGAGGAACTGCAGGAGAGCACAGAGGATCTGCAGGGACAACCTGTCCCATACAGTAAGCAGTGAATGGAGTTCTGGAGCAGAATCCTGCCCAGGGTGTAGTCACACAGAGCTAAAGAACTAAATCTTGCTGGGAACTGGTAAAGGAGAGCTCCGCAACCCCAAGGGACACAACAGGTACAGGGAAAACTCTTGCAAGTGACTTCTCTTTCCCTCAGCGAACTTGCACAGGTCAATCAAGACCAGTCCCCAAAGCCATGTCCCAGCTTTGGAACAAGGCAGGGCCCCTCTGAGCACCCTCCATGGCCACACAACAGCATCTGTTGGAGATGGTCAGTGGCAGAGAGCACCATCAACTGGCTCTGCCTCCCAGCTTGAGCAGCACAGCCCAACAGAGGGCCCCATGGCCCCAGTCCCCCCCCCAGCTTGGAGGCTGTGGGGAGCATGGGCAAGGGGTGCAGGAAGGGCTGCTCAGGCCAGCATAGACGTGTTCCCCTGGGGATAGGCTCTGTGGGCAGATGGGATGTGTCAAGAGAAGAACAGGACAGCCTGTATGAGAAGAGGGGCCATGGAAAGAGGTTGTCCTTGGGGAAAAGAAGGGGCAAAGCAAAATCTGGGAAACTCTCTGGTCTGAGCTAAGTTGTGCTGCCCAAGAACACTCTGACTCCAGAGGTGTCCAAGTGGGGCAGAGCCGGCGACTCTGGTCTGTGTGGTGGCAGGGGGGAGGCAGCAGCTCTGCTTGATTCCATGGAGTTCTGGGGAGGTATAATGGCCCCTTGGTTCCATGAGGCTCTGAAATGCCTCAGAGGTCCTTTTCTTCCATGAGGCCCCACATGCCCCTTGTTTCCACCAGATTGCAGTGTCCCTGTGTTCCTTTGTTTCCATGGGGCCTTGCCGTGTCACAATGGTCCTTTTTTTCCCCATGAGTTTCCAAAATGTCTCAGGGTTCATTTTGTTCCATGAGGCCCTGCATGTCCCTTGGTTCCACCAGATTCCACAATTTCCCTGGGTTCTTTTGGATCCATAAGGCCTTGTAGTGTCACAAGTGCCCCTTGATTCCATTAAATTCCACAGTGTCCCTGGATTCCTTTTCTTCCATGAGGTTCCCCAGTGTCACAGTGGCCTCTTAATCTCATGCAATTCCACTGTGGCCCAGGGTTTCTTTGTTTCCAAGAGGCCTCCTGATTCCATGTGTTTCTGCAGTATCACAATGACCCCTTTATTTCAGAAGGTTGCCCACTGTCCCTGGGTTCCTTTGGCTCCAGGGGGCCCTGCAGTGTCACAGTGACCTCTTGATTCCGTGGGTTTCCCCAGGGTCACAATGGCCCCATAATTGCAGGAGGTTCTGCAGTTTCACAGGGGTTTCTTGATTCCATGGGGTTGCACAGCATCAACATAAAGCTGAACCCATCCTGATGGAAGATTTGTGGAGGTTAGGAGGAACTGGGGAAAAAAGGGATAAGATAATTGGGGAAGGAAAGAGGGTGTCCCACTTTAAATGAGACACAGGTGTTTTGCTGAGGATGAGTTAATACCCAAACTCCTCCCTCTAAGCAATTGTAAATCCGAAATTGAGAGGTTCCAAATGAGGGAAAAAAAAATTATGGAAAAGGAAAAATAACAACCCTTTATTAAAAGGTATTTGTGTATTAGCAGAAACAATGAAAGAAAATAAGCAAAACAACAAAAAATACTCCTATACCCACAAATAATCCTCTTTAAAAAAAACCCCAATAAACAAGGAAAGAAAAAAAAAGTAAACAGTTCAGATGGTGCCCTTTAGCACAATTCTAACCACAGTCAGCAGGAAGTGCCATTGGGTCACCTGAGAAACATAGCTTGTAGTGCCCTGTGCCAGTCACCAGGTGGCGCTGTTGGATCACTGAAAATGCAGAGCTTGCAGTTCTTGATATTGGCCAACAGGGGGTGCTGTGGAATCACTGGTCGTTGCCACATGGGGGTAACACCCTCTGGGGTGTGTTGAAGAAACAAAAAAAAATGGGTTTCCCTCCCCCCCACACACACACTGTGAAAGGGGAGAGAGAGAGGGGGAGAGAAACAACAAAAAGAAGCAAGCCTGAACTCCTCCACCCATTTCCCAGGAGACAAGAGAAAAAAAGAGGAGCTCCCCATTTCCCAGGAGGCGTAATTATTCACTGCCGAGGGCACCCGAAAGGTAACACTGTCCCACCAATAGGAATCAGGAAAGCTGATGCAGAAGTTAAGTTAGCTGCTGCAAGAGGTGAGGAACTACCAGTAGCAGCCTTAGTGCCAGAAAAGCTAGATACAGACAAACAAGCAGAGTATCAAGAATCAGATTATAACTGTATACATAAAAATGGAGGGAAGCTGTTAGACAATGGGTGGCATCAACTAAAAACAGACCAATTAGTATTACCAGAAAAATTAGTATGGCAATTTGTAAAAACAGAACATGATAAAACTCATTGGGGCTTGGACTCCCTTTATTAACATTTAAGAACCCGTATAAACTGTTTTTATTGGTGTTCTGTAATTGGCTCATTGTCTGTAGAGGACATGTGAAGGAGAAGTTAAAGAGGAGAAGATGAAGTTAAGCCCCCAGACCCAAATAGACAAGACCTCTTGAGTGAAATAGTGCATGCGATAGGGAAATTCCAAAGTTCTCACGCATGCGCTGAGGGGTTATGCTTACATAACAGGGGGAGGGACTGAAGGCCTCTAGCTGGGTCGTGCTGGTCACACTGACCCAGGTAGATGTCAACAGCTAATTGGATAAAAATGCAGGTGGCTCTTGCTCTCAGTGTTCTCAAGTTTTGCATGAAGGACAATGGTGCCTTTTGTGAGGATGCCCGCTATCTTTGTGAGCCTACTGACCCTCCGAGGATGCAGCCTCTGCTATGGGGAATTCTGGTTATTCTGGGGTCGGTAAGAACACCTCGTAAAACACACCTGCATGAGTGGGGGCTTCACTGAGGGCTTAGTTCACTCCTTTCCTGTCTCTCGGGTTCCCGTTTACTTGGCCGTTTTTGAAATAAAAATTGGGTTTATTGTTGAGCTATCAGCAGTGTCTTGGTTTTCTATCTCAGCATTCTTTCGAACTCACCCTGTTACACACCCCCACACAATTGTTATAAGTTGAGAGAAGGTTTATGCAGACAAAAGAGATTTGATTGGGGACAATAATATTAGGATTTATTACTAATAAGATAAAAACTTCAGAACTATATATACTGCAATTCTAATTAGGCAAAAATACTATGTATTTACAATACCCCTTCCCTCTTTGTATCAGTTCAGGAGGAGAAGCAGTCTCTTTTCTGATTCCAGAGCTACAGGTCTTTTAAATAACTTTGCAGCACTCGAAAGTTCTTCTTCTATTATCTCTAGGACGACAACTTGGATTCGTTGCAGTTGGAACTGTTTCTTTTTCTCTCTCTCTTCTATATCAGCCTCAGGGCTGGGCCTACCCCCCTCCTTGGCTAAGACCGGAGGCTGAGGGTTTTCCCTGACCCTGTAGGGTCTTCCATGGACTACAAGGAGACACTTGATTACCATGGATCTTCACCACAGGGTCACAAGGGATAATGGCTTTTGAGTCCACCCCTGTTTCCTGTGGGGTCTCGTCTCACGAGAGAAGCCTTTGATGGACCTCTCCAGTGTGAGGTACCTTTCAGGCAACAGTTCTTCCATTCTCTGCTGTCCCTTAGGGTTGCAAAGTCAGCTGCACCAGCATGGATCCCTCACCGAGATCCTAAGCCTACCTGGACCGTCTCACTCCAGTGTAGGTTTCTCTCCCCATGGACCACAGGTCTCCAACAAGACTCTGTTTTATCTAGGTTTCCCACAGAGTCACATTTTCTTCATGCATTCCTCTGTTTCGGCATGGGATCCTTCATGAACTGTAGAGGGTCGTTTCCTCTCCCCAACAGTTTTCCACATGGGCAGGGATTCTAGTATTCAGTCTTTTCCCTGCTGAAGGGAGAGAGAGAGGGGGAGAGAAGGAGTTCTCCCCCTTCGTGACTTTTCTCTTCTCTCCTGCTGCCAGCTTTGACCTTGAAGGCCTGTTATCCTTGCCTGGAATTTCTTCTGCAGTATTTCTTGTCCAGACAGTTTTTCTCTAAAGTTTTTTTTTTTCTCTACTCTGTTACAGGAAAGAAGGGGGGTTTTGTTACCACACCTGCCTCCAGGCCAGGCGGAGGAGGGGGTCTTACCCACTTGGGTCCTACCGCCTCTCCTCCATGGCTACTAATTTCATCTGCGCAACCACCTTCTCTTCCGTTTTCTTCAATATGTAATTGGTAGAGGCATTACTAAAACTTTTGATTGGTTTTTTTCTCTGGAAATCCACATGGAGAAAACCATTTTCAGCCCCAGAGGGAGCTGGGGCAAACCCATGACAGGAAATATTAAATAAGAATTTTACTGTGCTGTTGAAAAAACAGATTAAACAACCTGATTGTAAAGCACTTCCATTCACTCCTGGTAATTGGATATATGTTAAGGATTTTACAGGAGGTCCTCTGCAAGAAAAGTGGGATGGACCTTTCCAGGTGTTGCTGACCACATTCACAGCAGTCCAGATAGAAGATCGGCCCACGTGGATTCACTACTCCTGAGTCAAGAGAGCCCTAAGAAACTATGGACCTCAGAACCCATAGGACCAACCACTCTCCAGTTCACCCGACACTGACTACTGGGATCTTATGGATTATGGTGACTATAACCTGGGCTGGATCATTAGAGTGGCCATGGTCTCAAGCCTATATTGGGCATTGCGGTTCTATGGGAAAAGATCTTTCAAGAGATTACAAATGGAACTAATTTTTGTGTTTATAATTTTACTAAAAAAATTTACTGTGATTTTAACTATACAATTCCAATAACTACTGAGAAATTAATTTAAAATGATCATTAGTTGTATCATGATATACCTAAATTACAAATAAGTACAGATATTGATCTTTTCAAAACTATGCTTAGACACCCTGATATAGAAAAACTGGTCCAAGAAGTGAACAGAAAAACCCAACACATGCTCTGGCAAGTGGAGCAGTGTCATAGTCAAGAGGACACAGATCATATGGCCAATGATGCATACCTATCAGATTCCTTTGGAACTTGATGAAAGAATTTGTAAGTCTTAAGAAAAGGGGGGACTGAAAAGAGAGCAAGGCCTAAAGAATTAACTGAAATATCTTGCTCGACTGAGAGAAGCCCCTCCATACCTGCTCTACCTAAATTGCTAAAGAAAGATTTGTTTCTGTTCTGTTCCTTGGACCTAATCTTAAGAAGAATGCTAGAAACATTATACAATGGTTCTGTAGGTCATAAATTAAGGCAAAGTAAGCCAAGGTACACCTTTGAATAGGAGAAATAGACCTGAAACCAAAGCTCTCTCCAAGTTTCGGTGACTGGGACCAAAACAATGGAAAGGTAGAGAGGTCATATGGAGGAAGACTATGGAAGACTCCAGCCCCACAGGATGAAAAACTGGATGTACCACCCAGAATGAGGACCAAGAAAGAACTCTGCCCAGACTCTACCTATTATCCATATGTATGTTTAGATGTTGCAATCATATGAATATGCATGTTAAGATGTTGTAGTCATAGAAGATAGACTGTCTAAATTACCTTGTTCTGCACCAATACCTTTAAGCAAGAGCTTTGTGGTGCAAACTACGCTTGCTCCTGATGTCAACAAATAAATACCTTTGCTGCTCAAAAGACCAAAAGGCTTCTGAGTGGTTTCTTAACCAGATTTCTTGGATTCAGCTTGTCTTAGGGCCCATGGGGACAGCTCCTGGAGCTTGGAGATTTCCTCCTTAAAGCAGCTCCAGCCTTCCTGGACTCCTTTGCCCTTCAGGACTGACTCCCAAGGGACTCCATCAATCAATCTCCCAAACAGGCCAAAGTCTCCCTGTCCTCAGTCCAAGGTGTCAGTTCTGCTGCCCCCTCCTTCCTCCACCCACAATGGAAAACTCAATCATTTTGGGGTCTCTGTGCCTGATGGCTCCGACCACCCCATCCCCCACCAGTCACAGAATCATGGAATGGTTTGGGTTGGAAGGGACCTTAAAGAACCTTCTCTTCTCCAGGCTGAACAATCCCAATTCTCTCAGCCTTTCCTCGAAACAGAGCTGCTCCATCCCTCTGATCACCTTGGTGGTCTCTTCTGGACTTGCTCCAGCAGGTCCATGTCCTTGCTGTACTGGGACCCCAGAGATGGAGGCAGCACTGCAGGGTTGACAACGTTACAGCCATGTGTGTTCCAGCAAGGACACTGTGGAACCTCCTGGAGTAAAGGGGCCATTGTGACACTGTAGGGCCTTCTGAACCCAAAGGAACCCTGTGACACTGTGGAATCTCATGAAACCAAGGGGGCACTGTGATATGTGGGGCCTCCTAGAACCAAACGAGTCCTGAGATATTTTGCAAACTCATGGAATCAAGGGTCCATTATTACACTACAGAGCCTGACAAAGCAAAATGGACCCTGTGACTCTATGGAACCTCCTGGAATCTCGTGACCATTCCAACACTGTAAAACCTCAGGGATACTGTCAGGTTCCCATCATTAAAAGACGCCTCTGTGTGTGGACCATGTGCCAAAGGCAGCAGTACGGGTTTGATTTAACAGTAAATATGAGGGAAAGAGAGAGGAAGGGGGTGGTGGGAAGACAGTGAGACAGAGACGGAATTCAGTAAATATATCACAACATGGAGATCCCTGAGGCGTCCCACCGGTCCTTCTTCCCCATGGTCTGTCGGTGGTGGGTCCCGAAGTTGTGTTTCTGGGGGAAGGCCTTGGAAATAAATTCCTTCCTTTTTGCCACCAGTGCTTCTCTGTTGTGGAGCCTTATGGGATTTCCCTTCTTTGGCAGTGTTTTGAGACAGTTCCTTGTGCGCTTCAAGTGCACACATATGTGCACACACAGTAGTCTCTCCAGTGTCTGGCCATCCAAAGAACACAAGACCTGATGATTTGTAGCTCCCACTCCAGTGGTTGGCACTTGGACCTCCCTCCATAGCCAGAGATCAGAGCTCCCTTGTCCCAGAAAGGTTATTGTACCTCATTCTGCCAAGACAACCCTTGGAAAAAAGTGTCACTCTATGTTTCCTGGGATAAAAGCGCTATACTGTCCTCTTCCAAAACCTTGGAGAGGTCACAGAGATCTCCCAGGAAGGAATTTGGGGCCTCAAGCATGTGACCCATGTATAGAGACTGAGGACTCTGGGGTCAGAAGTTTGAAGATTGAGGACAGTGGAGGAGTAGCTTGAGAGGTCTGGAAGGGGGGTGTCAGAGATGGTGGAGCTTTTCTTCATGGTAGAAAAGAGCATAAGAAGGAACTAGTGCCACCAAAGGCACCTGGGGTGGCCCAGACTGGTGACAAGAAGTAAGAAATTTCCCTCCAAGGTCAGTGTTGTGGTGTAATATGTCACAAAGGAGTCTGGATGAGCCCAAGGTTTTGTGTGCCCAAAGGAAGAGTCAGGGAGGATGGAGAGATGTCAGTGCAGGAAGGGGTCAGGGAGGTGGGGCAGTCAGGTGGATGATGACAGCCTGCAAGGGAAAGGGGCAGGGCATGGATGCCGCAGGACATCCTGGGTTGGACAGGAGAGAGGTACATGCAGAAACTGAAAACCCTGACAGCGCCACCTTCTGCAGGCCTTTGGCCATGGTTGCTGTCTGTGCCACTGATGCCAGGAGGAGACAAGTGGCCCTTGCAGCCCTGGGGCCTCATGGTCTCCTTGTCCCTGCTCAGATGCCTGGGAGGTGCCACCCCATCATCCTTCCCTGGGAATTGCAAGAAGAGCTCTGAGGAATGAGGCAGGGACAGGATCTACCTTGCCAGGGGCTGGGAGTCAGGCCTTGACCCTTTGGATTAAGGAAACAAGTCAATGTTTATTCAGCCTCAGAGCCACGTTTCCCTTGCTTGTCCATCCTTGTCATCACTGTCTGAAGTTTTCTGCTCTAACTGGAACCTGGGGACACCCACCCACATAGATTTCGCCGGCTAATTGGACAAAAAATGCAGGTGGTTCGTGCTTTCAGCGCTCTCAAACTTCACATGAAGGACAACGTTGCCTTTTGAGGCAAAGTCCCTTGTCTTTGTGAGCCTGCTGACCCTCCGAGAATGCAGCCTCTGCTATAGGGAATTCTGATTATTCTGGGCTTGGTAAGACAACCTTGTAAAACACACCTGCGTGAGTGGGGGTTTCACTGAGGGCTTAGTTCACTCCTTTCCTGTCTCTCAGGTTCCCATTTACTTGGTCACTTTCTGTAATAAATATTGGGTTTATTGTTGAGCTCTCAGCAGTGTCTTGGTTTTCAATCTCAACATCCTTTCGAACTCACCCTGTTACAGATGCCCTGAGGAAAATAATGACTGGATGTTTTTCAGGAGCAATAAACTACATCTTTTCTGCTTCAGAACACTCACTACATAACTCTTTACTGGCCCAACCTGCCTTCTAAAGCTTTTGAGAGTGGCGGTGGGGGAGTTTCCTTATATTTTTTCCTCTTTTAATGTTTTTAACACAGAAGTTTATTCTTCATCCTATATATAATTGTAACGGGGTGATTTCAAAAGGATGTCGAGCACGAGCCACCTGCAATATTGTCCAATTAACCGGTGACATCTACGTTGGCCCATGTTGCAAGCACTGCCCAGTTAGAGGCCTTTGGTCCCTCCTTTCCCCCTTACTGTAAGCGTACCCCCTCAGTGCATACGTGAGAACTTTCAAATTTTTCCTATCACATGCGCTGTTTCACTCAAGGGGTCTTATCTATTTGGGTCTGGGGGCTTCACTTCATCTTCTCCTCTTCAGTTTGTCCTTCAAATGTCCTCTACAGACAATGAGCCAATCACAGAACACCAATTAAAACAGTTTATACAAGAAACTCTCATCTCCAAGGACGAAGCTCTTGTTTATCAGTGAACTTGGCAGGAAAAGAACAAAACTTTTGCAGGTGGCTGGGTCAAACACAGACCGAAAAATATCAACATTCCCTGATACACTAACTCACTCTCTACCTCTTTGGTTTGGCCCACAATTTGTAAATGAGGAATCATTCTCTGTGTGCACTTAAACAAAAGAAAAGTTCCTACAACAACTTCTTTGTCAAACATCCTGCCTTTCTTTTTCTCTGCCTGAGGAATCACAATCTCTAATAGAGGACTTGAATTCTTTTTTCCAGATTCTTTCTCCAAGAACTTCCCTGTAGCTGGAGGGCAGTGCCTATGTGCAGAGGAAGAGGGGTAAAGAGTCCTGGGAGAGAAGCGCTGCCAGGGAGCAGCAGCTCTTGGGCTTTTCAGAGATGCTCTTTTTCCACTGCCTCCCTCTCCTTTCTGCTCTTTGCCCAAGGCCTGAGTGCTCTGGTAGCTCAGTTGCTGCTGTGTGTCAGTCCTGTGACCATGGGCAGGGACAGGCCCTGGGCACTGCTGGCACAGAGCTGGGCTCCTTAACATCATTTCCATCATGAAAGGGGATGCACCCCTGGGCAGTTCCTGAAGACTTTGTCCTTTTTGAATGGTTGGTGTAAAGAAAGAGACCAAGGAATAGACTCTCCAAAGTCTCCTTGCTTTGCTTGTTTCCCCATTCAGTCCGTGCAGGGAGAGAAGCAACTGACTGTGGTACTTCAGGGACTGAGGGCTGGGTCAGATGTTTTGTGCTGGTGGCCAGTGGCAAATGGTCTCCAAGTCACCTACCTGGGGCTCTGCAGCTGGTGCTGGCTCTGATGGCAGGTGAGGACTTGTCTGTAGGAAATGAGGAACTGCAGGAGAGCACAGAGGATCTACATGGAAAACCCGTCCCATACAGGCAGCAGTGAATGGAACCCTGGAGCAGAATCCTGCCCTCGGTGGAGTCACCCAGAGCTAAAGTACTAAACCTCCCTGGGAACTGGTCAAGGAGAGTTCTGCAACCCCAGGGGAATGCAGCAGGAACAGAGAAAGGACTCTGACCAGTGACTCCTCTTCCCCTCAGTGAACTCCCACTGTGCCTGCCCAGCTCAGGGAGGGCTGTACCAGAGCCAGGGGTGGGCTTTCCAGGAGGGTGTCTTGAAGAGCTCTCCAGCCCACACGTTGGATGGAGTGGAACACTCCCCTGCCCTCTGTGCCATTGGAAACAGCCCATGGTCCTGCCCAACCTCGTTCTTGGCTACTGAGCCTTCCAGGAATATGGAAGAGGGTAGAGAGGAGTGATCCCCATCTTACTGCCACAGTTTTTCAACCTGACCAACATGGCCCGTGCAGGGTCACCCTAGGGTGCCACAACCTCTCCCTCTGCAGAGTTGCACCTCTAGCTCAGGGCCCTGCAGGGATCACAGGCTGGGATCTGCAACTGTCCAAGGCAACCTGGACACACTGCCCTGGGGAAAGGGATGTCCCTGAAGAAGAGCAAGGCAGCATTTCTGTGCCTGCAGAGAGGAATCCATGGCACAAAGAAACCTCTTTCTGCAACCTCCCCTCGGGACAGGTTGCTCTGTCCCTTGGCAAGGACTCTGTACTGGGCTTGGGAGAGTGGCTGGCACTGAGGGACAAAGTCAGGCTGTGCTGGGCATCTCCTGGAGATGACATCAGGGCTCCTGCAGTTTCCCTTACCTGCATTTCCTCCTGCCATGCTGAGTGCCCAACCCCTGAGTTAATGGGGATACTGAGACTCCTCTCTGTTCCCCAGGAACTATTGTGCCCTTCAGAGGGGTTGGGGTTGTGGGGGGAGTGCCCAGAGAGGGGTGGGCAGTGCTGTTGGGCCAGAGCAGACTGGGCCGCTCCACCACTTGACCTCTAGAATGAAATCACTTCTAATTTTCTCCTCAAGAACCATGAGAATATGTGTTGTGTCCTGAGCACTAAACTGGAAGTGTGGTTTTGAAAAGGTTTTGGTGTCAGGGATATTGAGAAGGCTGGGCAGTGTCACTGGGAGACCTCTCCCAAACCCTTGCAAAGGCCAGAGCCATCCCAGAGGTTCCTGGGGCCTTGGCAAAGGCACACATGGAACCAGTCTGCAAACAGGGCAGCAAGGAGGCTTGTTAGAGTTCCAGACTGCTCAGGTTCAGCAGGGAAGGGGACATGGCAAGTCCTCCTGCAGTCATTCCCGGGCATGGGAAGGACAAGGCAGGGATTGCAGGACTCCTGTGGGAAGGAGAAGAAGGGGATGTTGTGTGCGCAGACATTATCGGGCCCCTTTGCATGGTCTCCTGTGGTCTCCTTAGAGCCAGATTGGTGACAACTGGACTGGACAAGGGAAACATGTGGTGGGTGGGAAGTTGAAGGACTGATGAGGGTCAAAAGTCATGGCACAGAGTCCTCTTGGCAGCAACTCCCAGGTGACATCCTTCAGGGACCAACTCTTGACCATTCCTATGGAACATTTTTATTATGTCTCTGAATGATGGGATGAAAGGCACTTTCCACTCCTTTGTGGATTATGCCAAGGTGCAGTAAGTCGGAGAAATCTCATCTAGTTAATGGTGACTTGTACAAAAAATCTGTTCAAGATGACTGAGTTGGATAAACTTATCTAGCCATCAAGTGCCCACCAAGGCACAGGACAGTGAAGAAAAATCTCATGGGTCAGAGGAAAGGAAATTCCAAAGGGGGGCAAAAAGAGCAAACACAACCAAACCAAACCCAAATGAACCCAGAATGACAGAAAATGCTGAGTTGGAAGGGACCCACAAGGATCATCCAGTCCAACCCTTAACCCTGCACAGTACCATTCCCAGGGGTCACACCATGAGCCTGACAGTATCATCCAAACACTTCTTTGGCTCTGTCAGCCTTGGTGCTGTGCCTGCTGCCCTGGGGAACCTGTTCAGTTCCCAAACATCCTCTGGGAGAAGAACCTTTTTCTAAGATCCAACCTAAGCCTGCCCTGACACAGTTCCAGGCCATTCCCTGGGTCCTTTCCCTGGTTCCCACAGAGAAGAGCTCAGGGCCTGCCCCTGCCCAGGAAGTTGTAACTGCAGTGAGGTCTCCCCTCAGTGTCCTCTTCTCCAGTTGAACACACCAAGTGTCCTCACATAGCTTCAAATCAAGGCCCTTCCCCATCTTCGTTTCCCTCCTTTGGACTCTCTCTAATGGCTCAATCTCTCCCTTCCATTGTGTGCCCCCAAACTGCCTCAGTCTTGCAGGTGAGGTCACCCCAGGGCAGAGCAGAGTGGGACAATCCCCTCCCTGGTCTGGTTGCCATGCTGGACCTGATGCCCCCAGGACAGCGTTGGCCCTCCTGGCTTCCAGGGCACTGTTGACTCATGGCCAAATGACCACCCACCAGCACCCCCAGGACCCTTTCCCAGCACTGCTTTCCAGCCTCTCATTCCCAGTGTGTCTGTCCATCCAGGGTTGCCCCATCCCTGGGCAGAATCTAGTCCTTCCCCCTGGGTGAAGTTCTCAGGGCTCCTAAAGAGCCTGGAAGTCACTTGCTGTCACAGGGGCTCCATGGTTACCTCCCAGAGGTCATCCTGCAGAATCTCCTGGAATCAAGGCTCTGTGGGGACAGTGCAGGGCCGTGGGGACTGTAGGGGTCATTGTGACACTGGGGAAACTCATGGAATAA